GCGTAAATGAAGATTTAAATGGCTTCGTTCACCTCTCGGTAAATTATGCAGCGAGATATATATATTTCAAAATCGGAGGTCATATCAACACTATGGAAGGTATGTGGGGTGCAATAAAAAGGGATTTTCGAAAGAAATGCTGAAGTTTCTATGCACTTTGGAATGATTGGGAAAGAAAACATTGATTGACTGGTGCGTAAATGAAGATTTAAATGGCTTCGTTCACCTCTCGGTATATTATGCAGCGAGATATATATATTTCAAAATCGGAGGTCATATCAACACTATGGAAGGTATGTGGGGTGCAATAAAAAGGGATTTTCGAAAGAAATGCTACCTACAGTCTAGATGATATTTTTTGTTTTTACTTTTGTGAATTAATGTGGCGATGGCAGCACATAGATTCTAGTTTAGATAAATTTAAATAGTTTTTGGATACTGTTAAGGAATTTTGTGTGTCACAAACATCGAAGAAACAAAAATTTTTAAATAAGGTAAGACAATATTTTTGTACTGCGTAGATAAAATAACATATATTTCCATTCTTATGTTATTTTCTAGTTTGATTTAAAATGCAGTTTATTGAGAATATATATTTTTTGTTTTAATTTTATTTTATTGCATTATGTTTTGGTTGCCATTTTAGTTGGGAGGAGGTTGGACGTAAACAGGAATGGCACAAAAAAATCGTCAATTTTCCCCCAGGGATACCCTGAAATATAATTTTACCTTTTCTTTTCCCAAAATAAAACAGCATAATATGACAAAAATGAACTTTTGTGTTCTTCATTCTTAGCACTGCATTTGAAACTAAAATTATGCAATGTGAGCAGAAAAGACTGGATTTACACATCTGCTTTAATCACGGTAACAGCAAGATAACCTTATCAACAGTAACAAAATAATAATAAGAAAATACCTTCTTTTGAAAAACTGCAGAACTTTTCAGATCACCCAATAATACTTAAGAAAAAAGTAGATCTGCTGTAAAAATGATTTTTCATGTGATTAACTGAGATTCCAGCACATCATTCACAAAAACCTACTGGCTAGGGAATTACACCATGGCCAATGACAATATATTGATTGACCTACTGATGTAGGCCACAATTACACTTTCGAACTTCAAATGACTGAACCAATTGCGTTCTTTCTTAATTTTATATTTTGATCCAACCTATTATTTTTTGCAGGCTATTATTATTACAGCTATCTTACTGAAATTAAAGCGTGAATTTTCAATTACGTTAGAAAAAGTGTCTGATATTGTTGCTGTAGCAGGATCTGCAAAGTGAAAGCATGTTTAAATGTCAAGCAATTAAAAGAGTGAATTGCTGCCAAAAATAATTAAAAGCATATCTATTCAAAATTAAGTGAGGAGCATTCAAATATCAACAGTATACAACAGAGAAAGAAAGTTTTGGATTTTTTTTTTTTTGTAGATTCTGATATCCTACCCTCAATGAATAACAGAAAAATAAATTTCCCTGTTAAAACTGAATTGTGACAAACTGATGTTTGAATTAGTGAGACAGTGTTGCAGTGATGGCATGCCACTGGAGGATTTCATGCTACTGGTTCAACCCAAAATGTTTTATGAGAAAATGCACTTATTGCACTGAGTGTGCACATTTGACAGATTGGATAACGAAAATTTAAAAATCCCTATGGTATTGGGCAATTAAATATTTCAGGAAAACATTCTTCACATGATAATGAAGCACTTGAATGCATCAAAATTATTAACAGTGAAAAGTTATCACCAGAATAAATTTATAAACTCATAAAACTAATCTTTTCTGGCAATATGTGGCCTAAAATAGCTTGGCTCCAAATGGTGTCTTGTCTTCCAAGATTCCATAGTAACAATAATGATTTTGGCATGTGTAAATGTTGCTGGAATGCACAAATGCAAACTTTTCATTTATCATAAAAAGTACATGTCATTGGCATTTAACAAAGTAAAGATTTTCCCTGTCATCTATTGTTCAAATAAAACAGCATGACACAAACATTAATGAATTATTGGTTTGAAAATAACTTTATACCCAAGGTTCGGCAATATTTGAAACTGAATGGCTCATACTAAAAGATAATGTGTCTGAAACATGACTTAGTTTTCCCCCAAAATTGTGCATATATCATTTATCCAATGAATATGGAACTGCTATGCATGCTGAAATGCATATAAAAAGTAGCCTTTTTAAAATCTATACTAATTTTTCTGTAACAAATCTATTTAAGAACTTTTTAAATAGTACCTTAATATAAAATCTGCTTTGTGAAACACTACGAGGTAATGGGAGAATATTTTAAAAAGTGCTTGGCATAACTTATAGCCAATTATAACTAGTCACGAAGTTGATGCTAATGACAGTGGTGACAAATTTGAAGATTTTCAGATATCACAAGAGAAAGGGAAAATTTTCCAGTTGTAGTAGTCCCAATAGCCAATTAGAGCTTAACAACAAACAGTTCAAATAGTCAAGGTTATCACAAAGGTGACCTTTTATAAAAAGCAGCTAAGTTGTCTAATTATCACAAAATAAATGAAGAAGCACATACGAACTAGCCACGGGAACACCCCAAAATTAATGAAGAAATGTAGGGAAGTAATAATAAGTGAAGCTAATACAACAGAAGTTTCTCATTATGATGATAATGCCCCACTCATCAATAATTTAATGAAAGGCAAAATTTGTAGTAAGTCCAGAAAATATGGCTACTAATAATGAAGAAAGCGTTTTTGAACATGAAAAGATTTTAACTGCAAATTAGTAGGATAGAATTAGAGGACTTGAACAATGGAACTTCATAACTGAAGAGGAAATTATGCATATATATAAAATTAAAGCATTAGAACAAAAAAATAAAACAGCTTAAACAACATACACTGAAAGAACAGTTTAAGGAAACTAAATATTCAGCTGTTTCGTAAATTTCGATTCCTTTATGATTATATATGCTTCATCATTTTACAAACAAGCATTTCAGATTTTTTATTTTGTTATTTTTAGCTGTCATTTTACTAGATTAAAATCTATGGTCTAAAATCCAAAACCACTAAAGTCCAGACGATTTCAAATTAATAAATATTTTCAATACTTCCTTGTTAAAGCAGCAACTGCATAAACCTTCAGAGGCATCAGAAATTTCCATGTCACAGATCACATGCTTTTTCCAGTTTTGGTGACTAAATGTGGTGGCCACTTTAATAACAAATTGGCTCAATATTTTGAAATTAAATTAAACACAACCTAGAACACTGGAAATTTTAATAAAATTTGATTTAAGCAACTGAACTATGTACGATAGTTTTATACAGGAGCATTTAAATATCTATTTTTCAAATGCACTCCAAGGTTACTGTTATCTTCCAACACTGAAATTACATGTCATGCAATTAGTTAATACTACTGTTAAGCTTGTTTGGTTTCAGCACCTTTTCCTTAAGTTTGTTTTTCATGTAATAAACACCTATTATGTTTTAATTATCCTAAAATGAAGCATGATACTTTAAAATATCACAAGTATGCCTAAACAAAATGTGTTATATTAGTAAAAGCTGTCACACAGTTACTATTCATTTATTTTATATATGTATTAAACTTGAGTTTACAAGGTAGGAATCAGGAACAGCTGATTGGATATTAATTATGACAAAATTTCTTACATTGCCTTTATGGAAGACTTTTCTGTAGTTCATACTTTTATTATATATATATGAGGGAAAATTCTTCTGTAGGAAGTTTATGTCAATAAATTCAAAATGAAAAAAAGAATTAAAAATGTCTGAATTTGAGCGACGAACAAGTTTACAATGATTTGTAAAAATGAATAACATCCAACAGCAGAAAATTATATTTAATAATGTGGAGTTAAAATATAGTTTTATTCCACATTATATCTAATAATTAATAACTTAAGCTTTTATTTATACTTAAAAAAATATTGCAATGTATATTTATATTATAGGATTTTATATATAAAAGCGGAATTAAAAAATACAAATTTAATGTACGAGTTTATTACTCTACACTTTAGATCGATACTTCCTTCCTTTTTTTTAAACAAAAAGGAGTATATTTTAGACTTTTTTTTTTTTTTTTTGAGGTAAAAGTAAAAAGAAATATTTGCTAATGCTTCGAAAATTCAGTAATATTTCCATACTACATGTAAGCATGACTCATTTTCTTTCCACACAGTGCAAGTATCAAGTTCTTTGAGACTGTTTACTTCATTACCACAAAGAGGGTTATAAACCTAAGAAGCATATAGTTCTAAACCAGAAGTTATAAGGTTTATAACAGACGTTACAAACCTTATAACCTTATATGAGAGTTATAAACCTAAGAAGAGGGATCCCTTAATGGAAGACTTGAGCGAATCTGGTTCATACACCCATTTTACTCGGGAAATTCTGAAATTAATCATTCTTAAATGCAACACAGGACAAGTTGATATCAAACATTATTCCTTCTAATCAGTTAGTGATATGAGGTTAGCATTCCAATCAATAAATTAAAGCCACTGGATCTAAATCCATCAAATATAAGAGAAAAAAGAAGCAGCAGCTTGATTGATTTAACAGCATATAGTTAAAAGGAATACCTAGATAAATAAATAAATGAAACAATTGTAGTTGAAACAATTACAAAATAAATGCTTGTTTATATATAAACATTTGCCTTAGACTCATAATTAAAAGTTAAACACAAAAATTTGTAAAATGCAATGTTAACAAGAATTTCGTAATCTTTATTGAATTCGTTATTTTGTTTGGCAATCAAATAAAACCGGAAAAAAAATTCACAATTATTATTCATGGAAATCCGAGATATAAGTTAAAAACAACCAGTAAAATAATAAAAATGACGTTTATCTGCCTAACAATTTTTATATCAAGATCGATATAAGACGAAGCATTTCACACATTATCACGTGCAAATTTTAAAAATGCTTAAAAGAATTTCCAATTTACACCCAGGTGCCAAACTTACTTTATGTACACTATTTGGATCTTTCAACCAAGCTTTATACATTTCTTCCACATAAGCTGAAGAACTTCCATTTAAAAATGGTTCTTTAGATGTTTTAGTTAAATATGTCCTAATATTGTGAAGGCCCATTTGTGAGCCTTTTCTTAAATGCAAGAATGTTTTCTTGCATATTATAGCACTAAACGTTCCAACAAGTGCTGAAGAGATAGCCATGATAGTTCAAATGACACAGAAAAATTATTTGGTTATTTAATAATCATACACTAGTCCTTAATCTTCTGAAGTATACTTTGAAACGTGCCAGCTTGCGGCTGTCTGTTTAACCGTTCTGGATTGCAATAAACGCAATTACTTCACATTAATAATTCTTTATGCTTCTATAATGTGCGTTACATTGATAATCATGCCCTACACGAATGTCACAAACCATAATATAAACACAACGATGTATTTACGCAGAGTTCACACACACACAGGTACACTCGTGTAAATGTAGGACGCAAGAAGGAGATGTTCGTTTTGGCAATGACCTTAAACGTGGTCGGTTGCGGTGATTTTTAAAAATAACTTCCTTTAGTAATCAGTCTGAAACTTGAAATTGTTCTCGCAGAATTTTTTTTCGAGCGTAATGCGAAATAATTTTTAATTATTAATTCCTTCGAAAATTATTGAGTTACGCACTATATGTAAAAGTTGATGCCAGATTCAAAAGACTTAAAATGCTTCTATATGCACAAACTGCAAAACCGAAACTATTACTGCTGCGCCGAAGTTGAAGCTACAGAAGCGAAGGTTGCAAGATGCATCTATAACGTCTCATATTTATATCAATCTAATTTAAATCAGAAAATCCAAAATAAATTGATATAACGGAATATAAGGGGTCAAAAGCGTTGTAACTTCTTCAAAAGAATTTAGCAAAGAGCAATAATAATTAAAAAATTTTCATTTAGCGAAAATAACAAGCAGACGGCAAAAGGAATAGGAATTCTACATTAGCTATCACAGTTTTGTTGACTGTTTTGAGTCTAAATTAATACATTATCTAAATCCTGAATGATATAATCAGTTTTCAATTTCATTTAATAATAATTAATTATTATTTAATGAGTAATAGCTATTTTAATCAGCGTAAATGATAACAAGTGACATTTAGACGTCAGCTAATAGACGTCTATTTAATAGATTTCTGATCATATGAATATTCAATGGATATCCAATAACAGAACATGTGGAGTAATAGATATGGAAATTAAATACAGAATAAGAATTTTTTTGCCGGTCCTTTGTCATGGTCGTAGGGGAGCAGGCTACCAAAGTCTTTAGAAGTGGACAGAGAAGAACATGTATGTTTGTAAATGTAGAGCGTCTTTGCGTTATAATGGCACTGAATAATGTCCAGTCAAAATCTTTTTCTAGAGGTTGGTGTCAGAGATAAAAGGAGTGGGAGACTTTTAGATCCGTCCCCAGAGTGTTCTTAAAAACTTGGAATATTACTGGGCAAATTTTTACTGTCCCCTGTAAGATGCTCCAGGAGCAACATTTGCCTCTTCGTCAGGAAAAAGTTAGTGAACTCGATCTGATGTTCCTGTCAGACAAATAAGATAAGTCTTAACAGTAAAGAAATTTGAGTATCCTAATTGAATTTAGAATAATATCACGACTTGATGCTGTTTTTAGATGCACTTTAGACAATTAATAATTTCGGTTAAACACATAATAGACAGTTTGCTTCCTTGGCCCACATGGAAAGAAGACAAGTCACTTTAGGCCAAACATGAAAGGCACTAATGAGCCAAAAACAATAAATAAAAGATTTAGGTGAAAAGTTCAAGGAATTTTGCTTTTATTAATTCATCAATCATTTATTATAAAAGTAAAAAAAAAAAAAAGGAGCAAATTCATGAAGTATCTGACATTGGTGTTGAGACACTAATGATTCGATATTTAGTTCGATGGAAGTAGTTGCAATTCTCAATGAATTCCGAAGAAGTTCATCAAATATTTTATTGCAGTTTTATTCTTCGTGCGCTGTGTGGTACATATGTATATCCTTCCAAATAGATATTGCAAGAAAAAGATATGATTGTGAAGCGAGGGATATTTCTCTCCGGGGATATATACTTCACAGATATCCAGTAAACAGAAATCTTAAATATTTCTTTTAAATTGAATGTCAAATTGTAGCTCTATGATTTTCATTTGAAAACCAGCAGGTAATACATTTATGTCGATTGAAAATGGAATCACAAATATACCAAAATATTGGTGACTTTTCCGGAAATCTTGAAAGCCTCTTCGATTCTTATACTAAATCATAGAAAAGTAAACTTGCAATTAATTTTTCATAATGTTTAATCCCAGTATACTGTACACACAAGATTTGGCGAAATTTGGGAGACGATAAAGTTTAAATGTGTCATTTTGTTGTCGGCGACAACTTTCAAAATCGCGACAAAGCTGAACAGTATGCTAGGATTTTACATTTCCCAATATAAAATAAAGAGGGTGCATTTTAACTGTTTAAACTATTTAGTTATAAGCATAGAATATATTACAGAACACTGCAATATGGTTTTTATATCCATCCAAAACTGTTGCCATTCACAGGTTACTAAATATTTAATGTTTCCATTTACAAATTGCTAAGCATTAAATGTTACATCTTCTTTTTTTAAAGAGGTCAACATTTTTTCTAAAGAATCCAGAATCAGTCCGAACACCTGGTCGGCTTTCTGATCACTCTTCCTCTTCTAGTTCTTTTCTCAACATTCCTTATTTCTGAGTTAGCGGAGTTTTTTGGTTGATCTTCTAAAATTTACTCTTGGGAACATCTGGGATCACATTTTTTAAAACTGTTTCGTATGATTTGATTCTTTGCTCTGTTCTTCTGATATTCTCTTCAGCAGCTTTAGTGTCTCTAATGTTTTCTTTAGTGTCTCTACTGTCTTTTCTATTTCTTCTAAAAATTTTTTATCCCGATGTCAGTATATTTGATTTGTGAGTGTTACATACTTCTTCTACAACTGC